GTAAATTGGTCTCTAATTTACATCCAATGAACTTCAAATGTGGTTGTAAAGTTGTCGTTTGTTACGACTAATGTACGTCTAATGTTAACCTCATCTTTACGACTAATGTATTACAACCAATGTACGTCTAACATTAACCTCATCTTTACGACTAATATATTACGACCAATGTACGACTAATATGCTTACGTCTAAATTACGACTACATGTCTTACGTCACTTTTACGACTACAGCTTTTACTACTGATTTACGACTAACATCAATTGTCGTACATTTACGACTAATGCGCGTCGAAAAGTGAATTACGACTAGCGTATAACGACTAATCACATTTAGATGTAAGTTAGTCGTAAATGTGCTTTTACAACTAATTTACTACCAATATTGTAGTCGCTAAAGACTTGTTTTCTTGTAGTGATAATTTCTTTGTTCAACCACCCTAAACCTCTTCTCTCAAGTCTCAAACTTAATATAGATGGTATATCATTTAGTTTAATATCTAAATATAGAAATATATCTCAATTCGCTCTCTGAAATCTCGATACAATGCCGTCTCCAAGTCACCTCACAAACATCTCCTGCAAATATCTCGTGGTCTTATGCATGATCACAATCTTCTTCATCCTCATCGTTTATGACCAATCCTACATCAATTCACAATCTTTCAACAGTAACATATCCACCATAAAATGTCAAGAGAGGCTCTTACACCCAAAGGAAACAACGACAAACTTGAGCCACTTAATGTTTGTGTTGGTGGGGAGCTCACGTACGTGGAAGAGACGAAGAACTTACATAGAATCATGGTGGAGACCAAACGTGACACGAGGAAATCTCTTCTTGGACATGGAGCCGTTGAAAGAGTTCCAGCCTTGGTCTCCCACCTTACCGCCGTATAAAGTCAACGAAGACCTCAAGAAACTGAGAATCTACCCAAAGCTCGCAAACCCAGTTCACGTTCGTATCTATAGATCTATTCTCGATACTTACCGACTCAAACAAGACGATGGTGTGAGATGGTACGTCATTTAGTTTATTATATACACACTAGTTCAATCGTCTTACCAAATTGAGATTTATTTCTATTTTTAGATGACCAATTCTGAATTTAATATATAAACTAGATCTCAACCCGCGCAACCGCGCGGATATTTGTTTTCATTTATTTTTTATATAAATATTTTGTTTTTACTTCTAAATTTGTATATATTATCTAAGGTGTGCATATCGAAAATGATATATTCTATAAGGTGTGTATATCGAATATTGTGATTAATTATTATATAGTATAGATTAATTATTGTTAGAAAATGATATTTTTGTCATTTTAAAAAATAAACTATAATTTGTAAAGTTAACATCAAAAATATATAAATAATTAACTTAAAAATATTACAATATTAAATTATATAAGTTTAGTTTAAACATGTATTTTATTATACTATCTATAAATTCAATGGATCATCTAATTTTTATTAGCCCAATAAAAAAATCTAGTAAGCCCAATAAATGTTATTAGTAAATCTAATGAATGTTATTAATGATTAAATATATAACGTGACAAACTCTAGTAGATAGTCCATTTTATAAAAAATCACACATGGATGAGAAGTTATGACTTATCTTTTAATATAATAGATAGATAACAATTACGTTGATTAAATAATAAATAGTCTTCTGCTACACAAAGCATTTTCTTTGACTGATCTAAGAGTAAATCTTACGAATTTAGTTAAATTATTATATAAACATATTTTGTAAAATAATGATCTCACGATTTTATTGCAATTCGGCATTTTTGGCTTTCTTTATCAGAAAACTTGTGATCTTATATATAAAACTACAAAAACCTGTGATCTCACAAGTTTTCTTTGACTGATCTAAGAGTAAATGTTACAAATTTAGTTAAATTATTATATAAACATATTTTGTAAAATAGTGATCTCACGATTTTATTGGAATTCGGCATTTTTGGCTCAGAAAACTTGTGATATTATATATAAAACTACAAAACTTATGATCTAACTTCAACCTTGTCCAAAATAAATAGGTATGTGATGGGTGATGATGATAGTCTTCTCTTCGTAGACAACATAGTGGATGTGTTAACAAAATACGACCACACAAAAAAGCATTACATAGGAACATTTTCGGAGACGATAAAATCAAATGTTCGCTTCTCATTTGACATGGCATACGGAGGAGCTGGATATGCTCTAAGTTATCCTCTGGTGGAATCTTTGGTGACAAAACTAGATGAATGTATTGAAAGGTATCATTTTATTTGGGCAGGTGATCAATTACAGAGTTTTTGTTTAGCTGATCTGGGAGCTGATCTTATTCCCGAGATAGGATTTCATCAGGTATGTCAACAACTATTTCATCTCTTTCAGAAATATCAATGTTTAAAAAAAAAAAATTGATGTTTATATAATTATTGGTTATGGTTGTTGTTGTTATTAGGTAACAACTGTAAATTGTAATTTTAAAAAATGATGGATTTATAATCAAATTGTAATATACATTTAATGTATTTTTTAATATATGATAACACTAATAACACTGAAAAGTGAGAAATATATGAACCAAACCTATTAAATTCTAAGTTTTGATCTACAATTCTAATTACAATTGTTTATGATCTTACGTATAAATAATTATATAAAAATTCCAAAATTCCAAATACATATAAAAACAATCATAAGTAAACTTTAAATGTGTCAATACTAAAATTTTATATTTTAATTACATACACTCGGGCGCAGTTCTTATCCTAGTTTTTTAATATATGAAAACACTGATATATGGCAACAGATTGATCTACACGGTGACTTGTCCGGTTTACTCTCGTCCCATCCAACGACTCCTCTTCTCAGCCTCCACCACTTCGAGAGCGTTGCACCACTTTTCCCAAACATGAGCCGTCCTGGCTCAGTCCTTCACATCATGAAAGCGGCCAACGTGGACCAATCACGGATGCTACAACAGTCTATCTGTCACGTTAGAGACAAAAACTGGACCTTCTCGGTCTCGTGGGGATACTCAGTTCATATCTACGAGAATATATTCCCACGAAGCTACTTAAAGCGTCCTATTGAAACATTCCATCCTTGGCTCAAAGGACGGCCTCCTTTTTACATGTTTAACACGAGGCCGGTTTCTAGAGATCCGTGTGAAGCTCCTCACTGGTTCTTCTTTGATTCAGTTGAAGAAGAGAAGGGAAGAGTTGTTACTTCTTACACAAGGAAGTTTCCTAGAAACATGACTTCTTGCTCCTTCTTTGGTAATATCTCTGCTGATTCTCTTGCTTGGATCAGAGTCTTCTCTCCTAAAACTCCCAAAGAGGTTCCTTCCATCTTATGTGGATATGAATTTTATAAATTATGGCAATTATTATTTTATTTATTCCGTTATTAAATCTAAATTAATACATTTTTGATTGTTCTGCATCTAGGGGAGAAAAATGGAATGTTGTGACGTGGGATATTATGGCGCAGATGTTGTAGACATGAGGCTTAGAGATTGTAGGAGAGATGAAATCATTGCCTAATGTAAAAGGGAGAGCTACTTCTAAATTAAGAAGTGTTGTTGTTAAAGACAAAACAAACTCTGCACAAAGATGCTTAGTGTTGCAGTGAAATAGACAATGATGCTTACTGTTTATGTGGTTTGTGAAAATAGGCCTTGGTTTGCATGGAATCATCGACTAATATTCTAGAAATAGGAACCAATGAAATTCAGAAACAATGTAGTTTCGTATAGATAAGAAAGCAGATCATGTTGAAACAAGCTCATCATGTTCTTCTTCTTCTCCTTCTGACCCATCAATGAGATTTCTGGATCCCTATGAGACGTGCATAATCCACCCATCTGAGACAACAAAAGAAGCAACAAAAACAAAGAACATGTGAGTAAAATTTTGTTAGGACAACAGAGAGTAAGAGAACAAAGGTTTGTGTTCCAAAAAAACAACTTACAATAAGGAACCCAAGAATGTGTTTCCTGTTCTAACAGCGAAACACATAGCACTAAGCGCAAGTTTGTGTTGGTGTAGCATTGGCTCCAGGAAACGTTGTTCTATCACACCAGCTACTACTTGGTACCTGTTTTTTATTGCAAAACCATATACCTCATCACTTTATCCAAATATATATGCTAAAACTAGTGTAAGTATGTTTGGTTAGAAAGAAAACACAGTAGTATACCTTAGGTTGGCAGAAACTGCCATATAAACACCATATGCAACGCTTGTGGAGACTATTGGAACTGTCTCAACTTCACCTTCAGAAGTCTTGTCCACTGCTCCTTTTGCTTTTATAAATGCATTCGTAACAGCTGTACCAACCTAACCAAATTATACAGATTCGTTTAGTAAGTGCAGAAACAAAACGAGAAGCAACAGACAACAAGAGTTCTATGATGTGCAACACAGCCTTTCTAACTCTTAAAATTATGTTTTGACTCACCAGCGATGATGTGGTGCCAACGGCAAACAGCTTAGCCCCATTGCGCTGCACAACATATACAAAAACATATATATTATCCACAATTTTTTTGCGTGTAACTGAGATCACAATGGAGTAAATTTGACAAAAGAAGAAGACCACACACCGCTATAGCACCAAACCTTTGCAAGAGAGAGTAAGAGGTTCCAGAGATAGCAATCTGCAGCAATCATGTTGGATAATTACAACAGAACGAGCTTATCCTTGCATGTGCCAAACAATCTATTTACAACAGAGTGATACCTGGAAGGCATTATCTGGGCAGTTGTGGAAAAACTTGGATATACCACCAGCAGTAAGTGCGAGAGGTGGTTTAAGTGACACGGTTGGAGCAGGAAGATAAACTAACATGAAATCAGCAATGATAGCCATCACCTATTAACAAATAAAGGACAATAAGAAGCAAAAAATGACAGTGCGTACACCTATCCAATGCCATATAAGAGGAGAAGATAGCAATGGATATAGCAGTGAAAAAACTTAAAGAGTATCTACTGGCCATATAGTTCAAAGAGCATTAACTTACAAAGTGACATAGCAGAAAATGTTGACTTTTATTCATCATAAAATTAAAAAAAAATGAAACTAATGAGACTATTGTACAGTTCAAAATTTGGTTCTTACCTCAGAGACAAAGCAAATCTCAACTGTTTTGTCATAGTCATGCAAAAAAAAACTAATGGTGAAAAATGAGAGACCCCATCACATAAGTCACAACCACAAAACTACACAACCTTTCGTCTACCTGAAATGTCATCTCCAATAATACTATTCTCATCCATCTCTCCTACCATCTAACAATTTGAGAAATTTCTAATAGTAAATTTTAAGATATCTAAAAGGAAGACTAGAGAAAAGTGTCACCATATGGACCTGCAGAAGCTACACAAAGAGGCAGAGAAAGAAGAGTTACCACATCGGCACAGACAACTTCAAGTTCATTGAAGAAATTCTCTCTACGCCGTTCATACTCAGCAGCAGTCTGTAAACAAAAGAAATCAAAATACATATGTATTAAGCTAAAATAATAGATTTACTCTGTTAACAATCAATTCATTTCTAACTGATTACATTGCCCTGAACGATTAAAAATACTCCATCTTCAGAAACGCTAACAAATCACTAAAAGTTCCAAACTTTGTTATGGATAAGAAAGCAAAAACCTTAGTGAAGACACCAACACCACATTCCATGGCGAGTTTAGCCAAGAAGAGATCATCAGCCAACAACCTTTCCCTAAACCCACCAAACTGCATCAGCCACCTCATCACAGCCGATCTCTGAAGCTCAAGGAACCGGGTAATAACCGAACCAGGAATCCGACCAGACTCAATAGCAGCCACCAGATCCTTAGGAAGACTCTCCAATTCAGTCCCAGACTCTGCCAACAACATCATCGCCTCGCTCCTGTTCCTATCCCTATCCTCACCACCATCTCCATCCCCGTTATTACCATCGCCACCATCACCACCATCTCCTCCGTTGTTATTGTTGTTGTTGTTGTTGTCAGAGCCGCCTTTGGAGAAAACAGGGGAAATAGTGACGCGGCGGTGGAAAGAGATGGACTTTGCGGTGAAGGAGGATGAGAAGGAAGAGAGTCTCGGAGAGAAAGCGAGGTGGGGACGTTGGAGATTGGATTCAGAGATGGATGATGATGTGTTCGGTGTTGGGACAGTGAAGAAACAGGAGGTCATTGCCATTGATGAGACTCCTCTGTTTCTCTCTCTCTGTTAAAGGCGTCTCCTTTGGTTCTTCAGTCTCTCTGTGTGTGCAGAGGAGGCGGTGGATAGATAGAGAGTCAGCGTAAAGGAAGATTCTTTCTTTTAAGGGTTTTTGTTTGGTGGGCCTCACGTTAGAATCTAAACTAGCGCGTGCTTCTCACGGTTGATTCTCATCTCTTTATCAAATGTAAAGAGAAAAATAAAATAGACAAGGAACTTCAGTTCTGTAATAACAGTAACACTGTCTGCTAAGAAAAAAGCAAACGTATTTTCCAAAAAGAATATAAAGAAAGACCTATTGACATTCCCCTGTTTCTTGTCTCCGAATCTAAACATCTAACATAGCTCTGTTCTCTTTGTACATTGTAACTCCAAAATCATACAGTATGCGACTCTGACAAGAACAACTAAGCAAACACAAAAACCAAAAAGCCAAGAATGATTTGCCCAGTTTTAGCCAAAGTGTGTGCCTCTTTCTCTGATTATGGTGCGCCTTTTGAATTCAGGGTTTCATTGGAGTCTGTTTCAACTGGTTCAGAGCCTGATGAGTTGGTTGCTGAACCCTTTTCTCTTTCTCTTTCTCTCTCAGCTGCTGCTTCAGCCTCGGTTTTCTTCGCAAACCGGCCTCCACTAGCTCTTGCCCTTCTCATTGCATGCTTGTGCCTTGACTCATGAAGATATGGCTGCAGATCACAGAGGACGCCACAAGTTAACCGAGGTACAAAGGAAACTTTATAGATTCTACATACAGTGAGTCAGTGACTATACAACATGCTTAGATTCCCAATCTATGCTGCCACATGTCTTTTTTATTCCCATATACCAATACAACGCAGTTTTGATCAATAGAACTACCTTTCTGTTGATTGCTTTCCTTTCTAGCTCGGCCTTGGCACGTGCTTTTCTTCGCCTTAGAATTCCCTGGTACTGTTTCGCATTCACATATACAGGCTCTTGTGTCATGTCGAGTGGCAGTGCAGTTCTTTCACCAGGCACTCCAGGATATGGACGAAAACCCTGTTTCACATAAATGCAACAAACAGACTCAGATTAATTGAAATCAGTCCACTCATAAGACTCTGAGAATCACCCAGATTTGTTTAAAGGTGAGTTTCAAAATTATCAGTGACGATAACAAACGGAACTAGTGAATCCAGAATCATTCTGTACAGCAAACAAAATCACCAAAACGGGTAGTAAGTGGCAAGAGCACAGATACATCACTGAAACACTGCAAAATATGGAAGTATTGTAGAGATTGAGAGAGGTTTTGACAAGATACCAATTGCTGATGTCCATATGCTCCCACCATTCCCCCGTAATATGGATCCTGATATGGATTTGGGACACAAGCCTGCAAATGTAGAATACATTTTAAAGGCCCTATACTAAATAAATCATATTTAATCAAACAGCTCAAGAACTGAAGCATTAAATATATTCGAAGACAGAGAGGAAAGCACATACAATGTAGTGTCCAACAAGCTCTGGTGGCTGTACAAGTTGCTGCTGACCATTCATGTTAGCTACAGGAGTCGCCAATAGTGACGGATCATTCCCTTCTGTTCCAGGATTATCTACTGAAATTAAAGAGAGACGCTATTACACATACACATACAAAAAAACAATGCCACACATCAACAAGAAGTTATCTCCTTTGCATTCGTAGAAATGTCAAGCCCAACAATTACAAAGCAAGTACATTTCAAGGACAAGATTTCATAACTTCGTGACTTTGGCATGTGACATGTCTTATAATGCAGAAAGACATGTAAGAATTTGAGAAATGATGTTGCTTAGTAACCATTCAACAAGTTACAGTAATCCACAAGAGATCAAGCCAGTAAAAGAATGATTATGACCAGTCACAAAACCAAGAAAAAGAAACCTGAACGTGACGAAGTTGCAGCTTGTGAATCTTTCCAAGCGCCATCGTCTTCAGACGCAGAGTGAACATCGTTTGATTCTGAACCGTCCGGACACTCCAAAGATGAAGACTTTGAAGGAATTACAGAAGGTCTCTGTTGAGGAACGACACCAAAAGAGTTGTTCTTCCACCAAGGCTGCTCTGCATACATCATTGGTTGCTGAGCAGCATGGTGATTGACTTCCACTTCATTCCCTCTTCCCGATTCTGATTGTGATTGCATCTCTTCAAAACCCAAGTCAACACTAGTTAACAACCAATTAAAAATCTAATCAAAGACAAAATCATCACTTAAAAACGCTCTTCAACTACAAAAAGAGTAATCTTTTGGGGGTTATTGAGCAATTCAAACAAAAAGGTGAAAACTTCAACAACTCAAAACTAACATAATCTAATATTAATATTCAACCAATTGTTTATTGGCACCTGTATCTGTTTAATTTTCTCAATCTTCAACGATTTTCTCAGCGTTAACATTCAAAAAGACAGAAAATAAAGAAGACAAAAGCATACCAATTTTTTGCAATCGTCGTCGTCTTCTACGATGATAACTTGTAATCGATAGAGCTCAGAGGGAAACAAAACAAAACAAAAACCAGAATTTGAACAAAACACAGAGAAGAGAAAGTGATTCGGAAAACCCGACAGGCGACAGTTGTGTAATTTCGTAGGAGAAGAATACGATTGGGCAGACGAAACCCTAGTTCTTTTTGGGGATTTTCGTTTTTCTTTTCCAGAATTTATATATTTTTGAGTTAGTGTATAAATTTAGGGGAAAAAAAATAAGGAATGTGAATTAATTTGTTGTCTCGTGGCGCCCTAAAAAAGATGCCAGAGCGCGCAGATCTGAGACGTTATCATATACTATGTCGTTTTCTTTATTTATATTGTCGAAAAAAAACAATTAAAAAATAAGAGAATGTGGGTCCTATTGACACGCAATTGATCCGCTGGGATGAGAGACACGTGGTAAATGTAGGGACCCGTATGCGAAAGACAGTTTCTTTTTTGGAAAATACTAAAAATTATTTAATTATTTTTGTAATCTTTTTACAAGGCAGGGTGTAGTCAATCATTTTGCCTGCAAATACGAATCTAATTCACTGCAACAAGTACACAATCAAACATACATGTTAACATGTATATAACAACATTAAGGTTTTGACTAGTTTTTTATTATGAATAAAAGATATAAGGTTTTGACTAGTTTTTTCTTATGAATAAAAAAATATAAGGTTTTGACTAGTTTTTTCTTATGAATAAAAAATAAATATAAGGTTTTGACTAGTTTTTTTAATAAACTAAATGTTCAGATTATTTTGCTATAGTTTCTCTTTTTACTTTTACCAATAAAAAGTAGATTTAAATGGAAAATGTAAATAAAAGGAAGGCTTTAAAAGATTTCATATTAAGATGTTGTAACTATTATTTTACCTACTCTTCATATCTAATATATTAAAACAGAAGTCATGACTTGACTTTATGTGTGATTTTTTTAAAAATAGACTATTACTAGAAAGTCATGTTACATTAACTCTCTAATAATCTTATCATTATTATATCTTATAAAAAATCATATCTATAATAAAAAAGATACGCTTAACAATTTGGTTTTGGTAAATTACCCTAAACCTTCCAATTTAGTCAAGTAAAACATGTCAACATATATAAGTTTAGGAATCTTCTATTATTTATAAGGAAATATGTCAATAATCGTTAAATACATCCACAATATATTAACAAAAATCACTGATTCGTAATATGGAATATTCATATACCCAAACAAAATTTACATGCTATATATACTGTATAAATTTATTTCGATGTAAAATTTTCAAATTATATTGCTAAAAAAAAGAAATTGTTTAAAAAAATTATTTTTTAATAAAATTCTTTCTAATATTAATTTATGAAGTTATAAGTTTAGTTTATAGCAAAAATTTCTTCAAAGTTTATATTAACTTTGCAAATTAAAGTATACTAATATTTAATAAAGCTCTATTTATATTACTTTATCTAAAAATGAAATACTAATCTAGCAAACAATAAAATATAGAAGAAGAAACAATTTCAAACATGTATAATATAGAAAATTTGAAACAATCTATTTGATTAAAACACTTATTATATAGTATTATTATGTTTGAAAAACATTTACTATACATATCGTAAATATGTGATTACTATAATATATACCAATTTACAAGTGAAAACAAAACGTTTTATATAACTAACTGTAAACGAAAACAAACACCCGCGCGGTTGCGCGGATCAAAATCTAGTTTTTAAAAGTTAATGCAAGAAATAGTTCCATAAAAAATTGTTTAGCTTTTTTTTTTAATTCTACAAATTACAAAAACAAGGAACAAAAATCTAAAGGAAAAATCCCAAAACTAAAAAATAGACAAAATCCATAATTAATCTTTAATGGGCTTTCATGGTGTGCTTTGGGCGCGTATCATGCTTTTAAATACAAAATTATATATGTAGAAAATATCACAAAAATGAAACACAAGGCCGAAAGACCAGGAGCTTGACCACCGTCTAAACTCTCAGTCGGAGTCCGCTCCTTCACATCCAACGGCTTAGGTTTAAAGAATTAGATTCCTTTTATACGTGGATTTCAAAACCTGTATTCCAATACGCTTAATTATTTTCCCCACGCGCCCGCCACCTCCTACCGCTTTATCCCGTCTCATACGCTCCAAACCTCTTTAAAACTCGCAACTCTATCTCTCACCAGCTCTTCCGGTCACACCAGTTACCTCTCATCCTTTTTTTTTCTCTCTCTCTTTCAAAAATTAAACGCTCTCTCTGTGTCTCTCTCAGCTCAGGTGATCGATCTTCACTTCTGTCTTAAGATTTGTGCTTTTCTTTCCATTTTTTTCCTTTTGGATCTGTAATTGCGGTTCTGTCTTTGAAACGTTAAGGTTTGGATTCACTTGTGTTGTTGTGATCTTCCGACAGGGATAATGGTGGATTAGATTTGGTGTTTAAATTAATTTTCAGAGATATTCTCAATCTGAGCTTTCAGCTTGTATTATTTTTTTGTATATGAAGATTGAGATTTAAGTCAAATCGTTTGGTTTTCAAGGAGTTTGGAGATTTAGATTGTAGCTGACTGTTCATTGACTTCATCATTGTTTTAATTTTTTAAAAAAAATTAATTTGGTTTTAAGGTAGTTGGTGTTTTGAATTATCTGTTCTTACAGTTGTTTATCTGTTTGTTTGGTAAGAAAATTTTGTGAGAGAATGTTTGAATGATATTCGTCTGAACTGAAGTGAACCGAATCTGTTGGTTGGTTCTTAGAAATTAATTTCAGACGACTATGGAATAGATTTGATCTTTGAGTCTTGTTTTGTTAAATCTTTTGACTTTATGTTGTCTTATATCCGGTCAAATTTTTTTATTTATTATCTGATTTAATCGTATTAATTATTTGCCAGTTTTAGTTGACTAATTTTAAAATGCTTCTTCTATATTTGCAGGCATCCTAAGTAACGGTTTCTCATTTGGCTGATCATTTTAGATTTTTCTCTTCAACCATGTGTGGTCTCTCTAAGAAGTTAGATACGGAGAATAATACTCTGACACCAGACCAAGAGAGTGAACATTCATTTTCCGCCTTACTTGAGTTTGCTGCAGACAACAATGTGGAAGGCTTTAAGCTACACCTCTCTTCTGTGTCTTGTATCAACCAGATTGGTCTCTGGTACAGACGCCAGAGGTTTGCTAGAAGAATGGTTGTTGAGCAACGAACACCGTTGATGGTTGCTTCAATATACGGAAGTGTAGACGTTGTGAAGCTTATTGTTTCTCTCCCGGAAGCGGATTTGAATCTCTCTTGTGGTTCAGATAAAAGCACTGCTCTTCACTGCGCTGCCTCTGGTGCTTCTTTGAATTCATTGGATGTTGTGAAGCTTCTTCTGAGCGCAGGAGCAGATCCTAGTATCCCTGATGCTCATGGGAACCGTCCTGTTGATGTTCTTGTTGTGTCTCCACACGCTCCGGGTTTTAAAACCATCCTTGAAGAGATTTTGAAGAAAGATGAGACCATATCTGAAGACCCATCATCTAGCTTGGGGTCAAGTTTCCGTTCTCTGTCTTCATCTCCAGATAACGGCTCATCCTTACTCTCTTTAGATTCAGTATCCTCTCCATCTAAGGCCAACGGTGTGGATGTAACTTTTGCATCGGAGAAAAAGGAGTACCCTATTGATCTATCATTACCCGACATCAAAAGTGGGATTTACTCAACAGATGAGTTCCGTATGTTCTCGTTTAAGATCCGTCCATGTTCTCGAGCTTATTCCCATGACTGGACTGAATGTCCATTCGCACACCCTGGCGAGAATGCGAGAAGAAGAGACCCTAGGAAGTTTCACTACACATGTGTCCCTTGTCCAGATTTCAAGAAGGGCTCATGTAAGCAAGGGGATACATGTGAATATGCTCATGGAGTGTTTGAAAGCTGGCTACACCCTGCTCAATACAGGACACGATTGTGCAAAGATGGGATTGGTTGTAACCGAAGGGTTTGCTTCTTTGCTCACCTTAACGAGGAGTTACGTCCCTTGTACGCTTCCACAGGCTCTGGATTGCCATCTCCTCGGTCTTCCTCCGCCATGGACATGGCGTCAGTTTTGAACATGTTACCAGGCTCACCATCTGGTGCCTTCACACCTCCAATCTCACCTTCTGGAAACGGTGGTTCATCGATGTGTTGGCCTCAACAGAACATACCTGCGTTGCATCTCCCTGGAAGCAATGTTCCATTGAGTCGTCTGAGATCTTCTCTGAACGCTAGAGATATTCCTTCTAGCATGATGCAAGAGTTTGACTCAATGTCTAGTCCACGTTTCATGAATCATTCAGCACGTCCCAAGAATCTTGACGAGCTTTTCTCAAACGAGGTTTCATCATCATCTCCTCGTTTCTCTGAACAACTTGCTGTCTCGTCTGTTCTATCACCTTCCCACAAATCAGCGCTTCTTAACCAGCTGCAGAGTAATAATAATAAGCAGAGCATGCTTTCTCCTATTAAGACAAATCTAATGTCTTCTTCTCCAAGGAATGTAGAGCAGCAGCATTCACCCCGAGCCGCCATGGAGCCTATTTCTCCAATGAACTCGAGGATGAAACAGCAGCTGCTGCATTCACGTAGCCTTAGCTCACGTGATTTTGGATCAAATCTGCCACGTGATGTGATGCATAACGAGTCTGGCTCCCCTCTAAGTCCGTGGTCAAGTTGGGACCAGAACCATGGAAATAAGGTGGATTGGTCGGTACAGTCAGATGAGTTAGGCCGGTTGAGAAAAACTTTTTCTTTGGCTAATAATAATAACTCAAACAGGGAAGCAGATGCTTCATGGGTTCAGCAGATGGTAAACGACACTGCCTCACCTAGGAACAGCAACATGAATGGTGGGAGACAATTGGTTCAAGGGGGTTCGAGTGTGAACCTTCACAGTGACGGTCGTGAAAGCGACATTCTTGATACGTGGCTGGAGCAGTTGCAGCTGGATCGCTAATCTGGTGAAATTTTGTTTATTTGTTATTCAAGAAAGCAGAAAGGGAAAGCTAAAACAAACTCCTGGTAAGTGCTTTTTCGATAACCCTAAAAGGCTCAGTTTTTTTTTCAGTCTTTTGTCTGAAACTTCATTACTTTGTTGTATTCTTACCTCATTGAATTGATTGTTGTCTCTATGTTGTAGCAAAGGCTAAGTATTCTTCTTTGCCTCTTATTATTTCAAGTATATCATTCATATATTTGTTAAAAGAACATTGTATGAGAAATAAATGTTGTTATAGCTAAATAATATTCATTCATTTCCTTTTGGTTTTTTCATGCCTTCCAGTAAAATAATTCGAATGCAATGCAACGCAAATCACGTTTACGGATGTGGAAGTTAAGTACATATCAAGTTAAGGTGGTCTCTATATTGATGCATGTTGAGATTAGTTCACAATCACACCTCAACATGCAAAAGATAGTTGCCATGACAAACCCAATCCCCCCACAAGCTGCAAATCAAAGTCAAAAACATTTCAATTTGCAAAGTCATCATGCTTTCTAGGTACTCATCTAACAAACCTTGACAAGGAGACCGTATTTGTTAAGATACCCAAACATACAATAAGAGCAGCGAACCACGCCACTGACTCAGCTAAACACTCTTTCCATGTCACAACACCAGTCACAAGAAGCACTGATAATCCAAGAATAGCTGCAGTCACAGCATCTACACTCAACTTAGCTCCAAAGACCCAAAGGCCAACCTGTGTCAATCAAGGAGAAAACTTGTTTCACAACATTTCCACTAAAAAGCAAAATCTTAAAACAAAATCACTTACAGTGGGAAACAAAGTAGCAGCCATGATCAACTCATTCTTAGACATAGGTCCCATCTTATTAAGCCTCTCCTGAGCCAGCTTAGGAGCATCAGGGCTACTCTTCACAGTTGGCCTGATGCTAACAGAAGTCTGGAAACAAGTTAGCATCAGCCAAGCCCCAAGACTGTGCTCAGTCCCATCCCCAACGTTACTACCACAAGCAACATCAATGTTCGAAACTGACAGGCCGATCTACAGCCGTGTTCGAAGGAGTATACTTGTGAAACTATGGCAAATTAGTTTCTTTTGATATGGGCTTACTTGTGAAGCCCAAACGAGCGTAAGTTTATTTTGCAAACTCTAATGCGAAGGTAACCAATTACAAACTCTCTTTAAGTTTTAACAACTTCAGATCAAAAATTTTCTTTTCTGTTTTTTTTTGTATAATATTTTCTTACTTTTGGTTGGTTATACAGATCTTCCGTTTCTTAATTCACAGAAATAATACATATCATTTATGCACATATAAGAAGTACATTTCAACATACATTTCAATACAAAATTCTTCAAATGTTTAAAATGTATGTGTTTATTTCATATTTTTATTAAGGGGTATATATAGTTTACATTGACTGATCATTACACTTGGCACGTCAAGCCCTAGTAAGAAAGATTAATTCGACATACAAAACAAAAGACTCTAATTTACCAATATCTATCTATGACAATTTATATATCAGTATTTGCATTTATGTGTGGGACTATGAATCTCTTTGGTATAATTCCGCAACAGAGAAAAAAAATGACGTGAAAAAATTATTTGCTTTGTTTGAAGTTGAAGTGAAATGAAGGAACCTCAGTGCTCATCAACTGGTCAAGGTCCCAATATTCTTCCATTCTCATACTCTCATGGACATTTCCATCTCCCTTAGTGTTAATATCTGCCTTGTACCAATCACTTTCTTGACACTCCAATGGTGGAAAGCATAGTTCCCCTTGTAGCCCTGTGTTATGTATTCCATATAAACCATCTACATAAGGGGTAAAATCGTCATTACAAGGGTGGTTGATCATGTGTGGTGCTTGGAATGAATTGTTGCTGGTTATTGGTATGTTGGTTAAAGAGGGGTTGACGAATCCTTGTTCTTGGAAGGACATGAAGCTTCCTATAATGTCTTTAAGCTCCAAAGAAGAGGAGGTAATATTAGAAGACAAATCACTTGCGTTGGGTGACGAGGATGAGTTGTTGACGAGGTTGGATGTATCAGACAACTTCTTTAGCCTTTTCTTTATTGTAGAGTTCCAAAAATTCTTGATCTCGTTGTCTGTCCGACCAGGCAATCGTGCTGCAATCTGAGACCACCTATGAAACAGAAGAAGAGGAAGAAAGAGAGTAGAGTGGTGAGATGATGATTTGTAAAATTGATACGAGTGCATGGTTTGCATGGGAATTAGAGACCAATATAAGTACCTGAAAAGTGAAAAAAAAAAAGCACTACCACTACTACAAATACACAATAACTATAGTTTTAGACTTTTTTTTTACTTTTCTTCAAAAAAAAATTGAAAACTATATGATTTGACAAAAATGTATTTCTATTTAAAAAAAAAATAATTAATAAATATAAAATATAAACATTATAAGTCCAAGAGTCAATTAGTTTATATATGCATAATAAATTTTTGGGTTTTCTATGTTTGTATAATACTGGTTGAAAATTTAGAAGAATTACAATAGAAACTTTATAAAAATTAGTTTATAATTTTTATAAATATTAGTTTAATATATAAACATTATAAGTCCAAGAGTCAATAAGTTTATATATGCATAATAATTTTTTGGGTTTTCTATGTTTGTATAATACTAGTTGAAAATTTAGAAGAATTACAATAGAAACTTTATAAAAAATTATTTTGGGAAGTCATGTCCAACGTAGAGTATAAATTTTAAAATATATCTTTCTGGAGAAAGTGAAAGTAAAAAACCTTATAAATGTATAACTGAAGTAAAACCCTAAAGAAGAGAAGTCACTTTCATTAAAAACAAGTGTTTTTTATAAGCAGCACTCTTAAGTCTTAGCACCCACGATTAACCAACTTTGACCACTCACATACTGACATAATTACATGTAAATGTACTCATTCCTATTTTGGTTTTTGCGTCTATTTTCTAATGTTACTATTATTATGTCAACTTTCAACTGGGTTAATTTTCTTCACAAACAATCATTTATCCTTTGAACAACAATATTGTGTCAAGGAAATTCAAACCAAACTCTATCCTTCATCGTGAAGTTCGATTATACATTTCTACAACGCATAGAGATCATGTATCTTATATAGTCATATTCACAGTAGAGCAATATACACATTGTTTATGTATGATCGAACTTCACATTGTATTAAATGTCTTTCTATGCGATTTTACTATTTACCCATTACCCCACCACCCCCACCCCAAAGAAAGTAGACAATCAAAAAATGATTCACCTGAAAATTATACTCCTTCCGTTTTATTTTAATTGTCATTCTAAGTTTATACACATAGATTAATGAAACATTTAATTTTACATATTTTCAATATAAAAACACAATTAACTATACATCTAACCACTCTTCAACCAATAAAAAAATAGAATATTATATAAAATTAATAAATTTTGTCTCGAAACTTTACAACGACACTTATTTTGAAACGAAATTTTTTTTCTAAAATGACAATTATTTCGAAAGGAGGGAGTAGTATTCTTAAAGAAATTTATCCACTATATGGTTTAGTTTAATCATTTTTAATTGTCAAAAAAACGAAAATGATGATGAAAATATAAACCTGTTGCCGAGAATGGAATGAAAGCGAATAATCAGTTCCTCTTCTTGAGGAGAGAAAGCGCCACGCTTAAGGTCAGGACGAAGATAATTGATCCAACGAAGACGACAGCTTTTGCCACATCGTTGAAGGCCTGCGTTTTTGGCTACATCGCTCCAGCATCCTTGCCCACTGCTTATCATATACTGCATCAGCTTTGAGTCTTCCTCTGGAGACCATAGTCCCTTCTTCATCTTCTTTACTTGATGAGTGGCTGCACTTGCTACCTCTGGTTTCCTCATTTTCTTGTAGAGTTTAAGGGTTTCTCTTAATCTTTCTCAAAGGCTCAATTTATTGACGTGAACGAGTGAAGTTTGTTTTTATAATAGAGAGAAAAAAAAAGAGAGAAGACTTGATGAAGGGAGAATGATGATGATGATGAAAGGGATTGTTGTATGGTTTGCTTACAATTCTGGGAAGAAAAACCATTGTCTCAATTTTCTTCTTCCTCCTTTTTAATATTTATTCTTTATTTTGAACATTAATATATATAATATATTGTGGGTTGCTTTGTTTTAAAACATAAAGAACATCCAAAAAGATGCTCTTTCTCAAATTGTTTATATACATTTTGCGTCGACCAATATTGTTTGTGGTAAATAAAATACACCAACAAGAAATGTATGTTTGTATATAACTAATTTAACCAAGTAAAGAAACGTTAGTTGATCGGTCATGGACGAAAACGGTTTTGAGAGAGACCCAAACATCAAGATAAAAAGAAGAAGTGATCTTCACTTGTTCTTTTTTTTTCTTTCTGAATATATTAGCCATTTCTTCATTCACAAGGTATATATATTACAGTCATGTTTAATTTGTTAACCTTACGTGTGTATATATAATACCATATAACATTATTATATATATATTCATGACTATCAGAACATAGTATATTTTATATTCAAGATATCTTCATTGTCTTCATTTTCAAGGTAAGCAAATGTTACGTTATTTCATGAATTGTTTACGTATATAAGCATATTTTGATTTGTAGCAAGTCGACGAGTGTCATAACCCTGTTTGTTTGTTTGTTTTATATTAGGCTTAGCCGAGCAAGAAGAAGTTTTGCTTCGGCTTCACACAACCACCTCTCGCGCACCAACACGTATACTTGAAGATATCAAATTATTGATATGGAGAAAATATTTTCCCCTTTATCCATATATTATAGTATCTTTTTATTTGATATGCCGAAAAAAAGATATTGATATAAACGTGGGTCAAAAAATTTCACCTCTCGATTTACACTCATTTATACATGATTTATAGGCCGACAAATAATACATGATTTATGAGTATTAATATCTTTTGTCATCCATAAAGAATATACGTAACTTGTATACAATCATAAAACAAATTATTCACATATAAAGAAGTTAGAATACTGAATCTTAAACATGATTTCTAATGGAGAAGGCCAAATTAAGTCGTAGGGAAGATATTTGTTTTTGTTAAAATTGCTAGTTTTTAATTAGCGGCAGGAAAACAGATTAACATATTACTTCTTAAACTTTTTTGAAAAATATATATTATAGTAGTATAGTAACTATACTTCAAATATATCACTCCTACAATGAAATCTATAAAGTAACTTTGCACACTTCTCCTAAGACTAACCCTAAACCGAAGCGTTTGGGTAATTCCAAACACAGGAGATACAAACATAAAATAATCGCATAGAATAACTATACAGTAGTGTGAGGTTAATCACTGTGTACAAGTGTAGGGTCATGTGTGCTAAACTCATTTGAGACTGTACGTAATGAAAACATCAAGTGTATTTATTTGAAACATTAATCATGCATATAGAAAATATCATTTCTAAATGAAGCAAAAGTGGTTACTAACTAAGAAAGCAATTATCACCCATGAGAACAAAGCTCCAAATAAAGGAAATAAACAAAATACCATTGAATCAAAGCATTAGCTTAAACTTGAATCTTACTTTACATGGTGATGTATCTTAGCCCATAATTTAATATATTTGTATTATATATCTGTTTTTAATAATTACAAAAGATTACTATAAAGTTTGTTCTTAAAGTATTTTTCACTTCAGGGACTGTCTTTTTAGTAGCAAAATATTATTAATTAATCATTATGCATTACATGAAATTTGTGGTGGAGAACATTTTGTTACACTTGTCTCTGATTACAATGTCTTTCAAGAAACACGCATTGAAATTGACTTCATGCAGTGTCAATTATTTCACAATCGGACAGTTCCACATCGACATTGTCAATATCGGCAATTGTTATCTTGTAACCTGACCCATTCCGTCCTGTTGGATCGGTAGATAGTAGTTGTGATTAGAGTCACATACAAAAGTGAATGACACAAAAGGTCATAGAAGAAATTATAGATGTTGTTAATTTTTCTAGGGATTATTCTATAGAATATACTATTTTAGATGTTAATTTTTCTTGAATTCTTTATTTCTGCTGTTTAGGCTATAGTTTTGCAGCTATTTTCTAGGTTGGATAGAATACAGTCTTGCCATTCCTATTTTATATTTTAGCTATAGAATTGTGATAAAAAAATATTACTTAGTTATAAGAAGTGATCAAGAAAATATTAAATAATAAGTTTTGTGTTTTTATTAGCTAACATTGTTTTCTCTAAAGAAATAAGTCATACATGCAGAGTTGTAATAGGGAGATCTGAAAATACGCTAAAATATTTTTTTGGAGTTTTAAGTTTCCGTTGTAACAAAATCACATTTTATATAGAAAATTTGTGTTTAGATTTTTTGCTAATCATTTTATTTGATAATTTTTTTGAATGAATTTTAAATTTATTCAAAAAATAATAATTTTATACATTAATTGTAACTGTAGCTGAAATGTTTGCTAAAGATGGTAAAAAATAATCTCAAGAATCATCTAACTGAAAACCATGTTCCATGGTCTTTGTGTGTTTTCTATCCCCCATGAATCTTAGACTAGAAATTTGGTTTTTGGTAATTTGGTTACGTACAAACGATCTGGTTATCTTTTATTATTAGTCGGACATCATTCCAAACTTAAATTAAATAGTGTGGCCACCTATAAAGTGTAAAGAGCCCTCGTAGGGCTGGGATTTCAGGTATTCGGATTGGTTCCAGATAAATCGGCTATTTAGAAAACGTATCCAATGGGTACTTGATCAATTTATGGTTCAGATTCGGGTCGTTTCAGACCGGTTATGGGTCGGTTTCGGATATACCAATATCAACCTAAAATTATATTTTTATTTATTTATTGAATTTTTAAAATTTAAAATTTTAATTTATTAAAAAAAGTTTGAATACAAATCGAATTTTAATTTATAGTCTGCATATAATAACAAAGAACTTCAAGTGGTCTAGTGGTAAGAAGACAATACCTTTACCTTTCCAACCCGAGTTCGAGGCCTAGAAGGTACAAAACTATGTTTTTAAAAGTTTAATCGGGTACCTGATCGGTTCGAAGGAAAAACCAAAACCGAACCCGATACCCATGGATATTCATAAAACATATCCATCGGTTAAATATGCTTTATCCGAAACCGATCCGAACCGGTCCATTTCGTGTCGGATCCGGTTGGATATTCGGTTCCGGTTCAAAAGTCGCAGGCCTAAGCCAAACCCAAGAGAATCAAAAGGTGCAGTTTCTTGGTTGTGTTCTTCGATGGATTGAGCAGATTTGAGCCTGCCTACAACATGCATCGTATCTGTTGTTTATATAGCTTTTTTAATGGTTAGACAAGGACTCCAGTGACTATGGCTGCCTGCCTACAACATGCATTGTATCTGTTGTTTATATAGCTTTTTTAATGGTCAGACAAGGACTCCAGTGACTATGGTTAGGTATGGACCGTAATAATTGGCAAGTGGCAATTATGGTCGGAATGAATAAAGATTGATCTTGTCTTTGATTAAAGAGTTGATGTAGACTTTCTGCCTTTCTTAATTCACATTACTTTTAGAATTCTTTATTACTAATTCGTAGGGAAAAACAAGAACATAAAATTAACACACAACACGGATTTTATCATTCAAGAGCATCTCCAGTGAGATGAGTATCCTCTTTTTGGAACCCGTTAAAGCAAAATTTATTTAATCTCGTCAAAAGTCTAGAAGCCTAGATGCTATAGGTCACCTTCTACAGTTTCTGATGTAGATGAACAATGTCTCTGCGCGATCAACAGCAACGATGATTTCTGCAGAATCACCATTTAAAAATGGAAATCAGAAACCACTTATCATCATTATTGACACTTTTTTCCAGATAAAATGCACAGTACAACCCGTGACAGATACCTGAGTTCCAGCTACGATCATGCTGTTGAGAGGATGCGCAGCACAACCCGTGACAGATTCAGACAACGAAAGAAACTTATTACTGTGATTACACTTGTCTCTCTTCTCCTTTCTCTGTGAATCCTCACTGCAACAATATTTTAGCAATGTCAAAAATGTAGCCCATGAAGTTTAGATAGAACATCACACACATGGGGAGTTTCCTAGAAATCCTTACTCGAAGTCAACGTGACAAGGGGACCTAGAACTTGGATGAAAATCAAGAAAATGAATCCCTTTCTCACTCATGGACCCAACCACATAAATCTGCAAAATAGGAAACAAAGTCAGAAAACATGAAGTTATGATCGTTAATGGGAGAACACAAAGTGCGAAGCTTACAGATGATGTTGGCAGCCATGTTGGTTTCCGCAAGAGCAAATCAGCTGAATTGTTGGAACCATCCCTAGAGAAACAAAATTCAGTATTGCGAATTAATCAATCAAATCAGTTTAATGTCACAAATGAAACAGCAAGTTTCTGAGTTTGCGTATTAACTTACAACCAAGCTGGAGGAGGGCAATGTACATGAGTAACTTCAGATTTATAAATGTCAAGAACACCGGACCTGCAACAGAAAAATCACAACAAACAAAACATGAAAGCAGTGTTTTGTTTAACCAGGCAAATTGAGTTGTTGATGAAAGAGTGACTTACCAACCATCGTCAAGGTGAAATGCCAGTTGATGAGGAGCAGATGGGTTTATATTAATGGAATGGATTTCTTTCGGGACGATTTCTGACTGTGCCTGCAAAAGGATTCAGATTGAGATGCAAACTTTCACTATGATCATCCGCTGGAAGTTTCAAAATAACATGATTCCAACATTACTGTTTCAATTTCCCCGTAAGTTTTTAAGAAAGCAGCTTTCAGGTTTTTGAGAACAAGTTGGGAGTCACAAATACAAATTGTTAAAACACCAAAGATATCTCAAAAGTTGCTGGAAGATGATACAAGAAAGATGCAAAACACAGAACTTACCTTAAGAGATGCAATCTTCTGTAGCATCGGTGCAAGATGTAAAGAGGCTAAAGGCAAGTGGCTCATCTGAACGTGACAAAAAAAAAACAAAATATGAGTGACGACTTAGATAGTCTAGAAGACAATTACAGTCCTAGCAAGACATACATCTTTGCGGCTCTGAAAAGCAGTAGAGTTTGTTCCTCCACGAAGGTCCCATATATGAATGATTCCTTCTTTACCAGCTCCAAAAATAGTCTACATGGCAAATGAAAGAATCATAGTCACTAGGACGAAACGAAACTTTGGGGCCTAACTAAATCTGATACCAAACGCTTACTGCAACTCTTATGGATCAAAAGAATCTTACTGGGCTTGGAAAATGTCTTATTTTATGATTACCTGATTATCCACCTGTATCTGAATACTCTTGAGCGAATCGTATTTGTTTGTTGAAAGTTCAATGCATGGAGACACGCCTGTTCTTCTATCCCACACATGAACTGTACCAAGTGTATCTGGAGAAAATATTCTGCATAAAGAACAAGTCAAGAAAAAAGTGCTGAAGAAAGAAGCTATAATTGTTTTGCATCCAGGAATGAGCCATTGTACAAACCTTGAATCACCATTGCTAGTAATTGCAACATCAGATAAACCACTAGAAGTTTTACGACCAATAATCGAGAGCTTCTGTCTAGTTTGCAATTCCTGAATCACAATGAGAAACAAAAATCAAATATGGGTGGGAAGGATATTAATAAATCGTGATGGGAAAGTATACAGATATTATTCCCTATATTAGCTATGTTCTTGAAAAGAAAAACAGCAATACTTATGCCCAGTTTGTAACCAAAAAAAACAATGTATAGTTAATCCATGCGATGTCAAAATCAGATGTTTCAAAGCATACCTCAGTTGGTTTGGGAGACATGTAACTGATGTCAAAGATAGAGACATTATCACGTTTCCTCGATGTGCAAGCTACCTACAGGAAAATATCATTGCTCATTAAAAACAATGTATTGAATTGATGTTATTAAGAAGGAACTGTTTGAAGTCCATGCCTCATTCTGGTTTGTAGGATTCCATCTAGCCACATTGAATTCCTTACCCGAAGGGAAAGACATATGAACAACATGCTTACTCTCATCTTCCACATAACCTGTTAATTGATGATGACTCAACAAAATTTAGCACATGATTGAAAAAATTAGATGTACAAAGGTATAAAAACTTGAATAAGAAGCATAATATGAGGGAAGAAACAAAATGAAAGCTTAACTAAAACTTGGAAACCGTTCGAATAAAGAGAAATGTTTGAAGAAGCATCACCTGAGGGAAGCTTACTGTGGCAATATAGAGTGTCAAAGTCATGAACGGTCAAGCATCCTGATCTTGTGACAGAGACTATATATATTCCCTGAGAACATTACCTTTTACCTTTAAGAAATGGTAACACGAGAAACCAAAAAGAAGTAGTAATAGGAAACCTGGTTGTCAAACTCAAGCCCAGCAACGCCTCCCCTGAAAGTGAATCAATTTAAAAAAAAAATAAAAAAAAATCAGTTATTATACTAATAAAAAATTGTAAAATATTAGAAACACTAACATTGAGGAGGGATGTATCTCGTGTAGGATCTCGCTAATCTGAAAATCACAAAAATTCTTAGCTTTCACTCAAACACTGAGAAACGGTTAATGAATGAAACTAAGTCTCACATCGATAGTTGGAAAAGTAATTAAGTAATATATAAAGGGTTAGGGCCAATCCACTTATCACCAATTGATTTTAAGTTGGAAGCCTAGTTAACAGAAACTAAGAAAATAAGAAAAGTCGTTAGTGCGCGTACATGGGTATGACATGGTCCTCCGTTGAGGTGATAAAGGTGTGGAAATTTCTCAATCTTCGCACCCAACCCAAAAAAAAACAAAAAAAAACAAAAAGTCGAATTAGCCTTTAAAAAAATGCCAATTCAATTCAACTGAGAGATAGAGATAGAGAGAGAGAGGGAAGACCTGAGAGTAGGAATGAGCAAGAAGAGTATACGATTCGTGTCGGTAGTGTGGTTCCAATCGTCCATTCAATTCGATTAGAGATCGCTTCCATGGCCGTTTCCTTCTAAGTTCCGTCGATCAAATCAAATCACAGTAAGAAGAAAGAAGAAACCCAAAGTAGATCAGATCGAATTTTACCTTGTTACAGTTGTGGATTTGGGCGGCGGCGACGACGACGGCTCTCTGGGAACCAAGAATTTCTCCATTGCTTTGCTTCGCCGATGAAATTGGGAGTCCTTAATTTTCCCGCCTTTTCAACTGGGAAGCGGATGCGCCCCGCCGAGAATTTGGTTGTATTTAAAAACCCGGTTTAACTCTCAAATTTAAAATTGGAATGTTCGCACCCGCATCGCATTAACAAATGGGCCTGATGGGCCACATATAATTAAACGTACCCTTAAAAAATTATATACAAACATACGTTTTAAATGGTAAGAAATATAAATCTTTTTAACAGAAAATAAATAAATGATTTGTAGAGTTTCTCACTCATCTAATTGGTAAATATACAAAGGTATTAAGTAATTTTAAAACAATTTTTTTATTATTTTTCTTTCACAAAATTATTTTGAAGTAAATAATCTTAACAAAACAGCATTTTCGAATAATTTTTTGAATCTGTAATCGTTGGACATGTGATGTGTTAGTTTTTTTCAGAGTCCTCACCCAAATTCAAATCAGGAATGACAACAAAAAGGCACTAACGGGATAACATTTTTTTTTTCTTCTTGAAGTGACTGAGCAGAAACTCTGATGTTCTATATCCTCTTGTAGAATTCATTTTCAAACTCAGTGAACCCAATTCAAAACTCAGTTTTAATTAAGAGAGTTACTGATATGAAGTCAACATCCTTAATTATGGAACATATCATACTTCTAGCTACATATATAACATGTTTTTCTGTCAGAAATGGCAAATGATACTCACCGATAGATCCAAATAATGTACTAAACCCATCTCTTACTTGTACCAAAGGAAGCTCTTGGGGCAACCTGAACTGGCCTTCTATGTTTCTTTGAGTCACCACTAGAAGAAGAAGCGCATCTCATCCTTGGAGAAGAAGAGGACACTGAAACAGGCTTCCCATTAGTCGATGGAGTAACTACTGAAAGCGGCTCCACAGCTTTCACAAATGAGGACGAGGATTTAGCTGGCGCTGACTTTTGCGTTTGTCCCAGAGCTGATGGTTCCTCCTTGATGGAATCAACTGGAACATCCCTCAACACAGTTTGTCCAGGTGTGTACGCAGAAGTTTCTGAATCAGCAGATGAAGAAGCTGTAGAAACATTAACTGGAGCATCTTCCAACACAGTTGGTCGAGGTGTGTAGGCAGGAGTTTCTGAATCAGAGGATGAAGAAGCTGTAGAAACATCCATATCATAAAGAAGATTGTCTACTCTCATTGGGAATTCACGAGTACTTGGGATTGCAGCTGAACATGACCACCTCCGGGGTTTAGTGAGCTGTGTGACCTACACATTTCACAACGAATGGATGGTAATATTTTCAGGCTGAAGTTTTTACAAGGAACTGAACGATTGGATTATGTAGTCAAGTTTCTCACCTTTTCTTCTAAAACAAATACGTCCCTCTTGAGCTTCTTGATAATTGTCTTCTTCCTGCGAATAATCTCTTCAAGCTCTGTTTCTCGCTGTAAAAGAGAGAACAGAAACACGTTTGTCCAAGTTATAAGGACACCAACAAAAATAAATCAAAGCTTAAGGTCTTTTAATGAAAAGAAAGAAAAAAGTCTTACTTTTGAACCAGCTTTGTTGATTAACTGAAGAAATGAAGTTAGGTCCTTTATCGTTGCATCTTTCTCTTGACACTCCTTTCTGAGCGAAAGCATGTCTTGGTCCAGTGAAAGATTATCGAACTGCAATAAACATTTCAATCAAAATGATCCTCATTTCCAACAAAAACCGATCAAGATCCACCACAAAGATTGAATCAGCCAATCACATATTCTTTAAAAACATACATGTATTTCTGCAGCAGTGGTGTCACTAGAACACCAATCTGACAAGTAAGACATACGCCTCTCCTCTGGCTCAGCGTCAATCACCATACCTGCCGGAGCTTTATCCTAAAACAGCAGAAGCAATGAAAGTCATATAGAGATGCTCAGTGATTTCCATGGAAAAGCAAGAGAGCACACACACACACACACCTGTGTAGCAGGTGGTGAGGAGTGATGATGTTGATCACATAGCCAGCAACCACACTCTAGAAATTTAACCTTCTCAGATCCAAACTTGTCTCTGAAAGCTGACTGTAGATCACCATCATGATCTAACACCTTGGATCCATCTCCAGACTCATCCTTGGCAAGACTTAGCTGCTGACACAAATCGTCCAACTTCTGTTGCATGTTTGAAAGAACCTGGTCCTGAAACAAATCCACCCCAAAGGATTAGTCAAAACTGCAACAGAAAGCTGGAAGATTAATCTTAAGAGTTTAACTCTCAGGATAATAACTTTGTTTAGTCACAAGTTGTGTTTAAAAAGGCGAGCGCCTTTTGCGCCAAGGCACAAGGTGCACCAAGGCGACAGTCCTACCGCCATGGACCTCCAAGGCGAGGGGGTGGTCCCTAAGGCGCTCGCCATGGTGCTCATTGGTCATAAGGCGTGCCTTAAAAGGCGACGCAAAGGCACGCCATGAAGACTATGCGTTAACCGACACTAAACCAGGCAGAAACCCTATTTAATAGATGGACCAACCTTAAACCAAAGGTCTGAAAACTCTTTAATAAACATCTGAAAATTCTTTGTTTCAAGTTCTTTGTTTTGGTGTCATGGATTTTATCAATGTTTACATAGCTGACTATATTAGTGTGCATGACTAACTAGTGGCTGACTATGTTAGTGTGTATAAGACTGTTTGGTATAGCTAACTATACTAGTGTTGTATACGAGTCACTCTATAACTATCTTGTGTACGTAACCATAGACTAGTTACACGTCTGTAGCTAATACATACACACACTTCTGACCTAGGAACATCTATCAATGCATATCTGAGTTCCTCTATAGCTGTATATAACTAACCCACGTTTAATGCATTCTATCCATAAGGCGAGCGCCTTGGAGCGCCATGGCCCAAGGCGCATGGCTCTAACCTCCTCGCCTTAAAGCGTCATGAGCCATTTAAAACACAGGTCACAACAAAGTATAG